AGAAAACAAATTCTCTGGAGAGCTTGGAGAAGCTTGGATGGAGTTTGTTGATGAATACCTGCAAATCTCACGTGATTACAGCTTAACGCCTGTACAAAAATTGCAGTATCTTCACAACCTCCTCCGTGGTGACGCAAAAAGGTTCTACTTGGACAAAGTTGACGGCTACGCAACTGGCTTCCAACAGGCCGTTTCTATGATCGAAGAGGAGTACAACTCCGTTGTACGCCAGACGAGGGTGAAGAACTATCTTAGCAGCTTACGTCTAACGTCCTTCACCTCCGATGGTACTGAGGAAACCGCTGCCCTGGCCAAGGTTTATAAGGTCATTCTCAAGTTCTCAAGGCAATGCCCACGTTCACACCAGGGAGACGTGCATAAAGTCGAATTTTTGCGGAATGCTGTTGTCGGTTCCTCATGGTCCCATGAACCCCTGAGTCGAGTTGCAACCCACCGCTTGACCTTTCAAAAACTCTACGGCGAACTTGAAGCTGCTCTCCAACTCAATAAGGAAGCAAAGGTTGCCAAACTTCGAGATAGTGCTGAAAATCGCGGGAAGCTAGCCGTCCAACCGAAATCCGGTGGCATCTTCTATACCGGACAAGGACGGTATACTCGCGATAGAAGGCCACAGCGAGCCTCTTCAGTTCCAGTAAAAAGTGCCTTTGATCCCCTCAGCATACAAGGGTGCTTTAACTGTGGTGGGAACCACATTCTTAAAGACTGCAAGCTACTTCCCAACAACGTTAAAGCAGCTGCCAACCGCATCGAGTACTGCCAGAAGAAGGCTAATCTAAAGGGCACCGCTGTACACCAGGTTTTGGTTGACATTTGTTATCAACTTGACGAAATGACTGGGCCTGCAGTAGACGGTGTCAACGATGATGAGCGCCAAGTGTTTGAAACCCTGTTCGAAAATACTTTCACCTTAAAGGATGTCCCTGCCAACAGCTCTGACACAGAAGAGGAGGCAGTGGAGGATGAAGAAAATATCTTCGTTGTGAACGAAAGCTCTGTTGTGCCGGAAAATGTACCGTTCCTCGGGGCATGCGTAGATTCCGCCGCACAGAAGACAGTTATCGGGGAACTTCAAGCGAAAGCTTATTGTGAATTTATGAACATTCCTTTCGCACCCAATACTTCCTCTCGAGGGACGGTCTTTCGATTTGGCACACATCAACAAAAAGGTTTAGGAAAGCTTGAAGTAAGGATGCCCATCACGGAGTTCCACTTCCTGGAACTCTCAGTTGACATTGTGGGGATTAATGTCCCATTTCTTTTTGGGCTTGACATGCTGAAGGCGTTCAAAATGGTCATCGATGCCGAACAATTCACCCTGTCGTCACGCTTACAAGGATGGGAGGTACAGCTCACAGAAAAGCTCGGTCACCTTTACTACGAATGGGGAGCTGCTGTTATGTTCACCGAAGCTGAACTACAAAAGACACATCGGCATTTCTTTCACCCCCAACCGGAGAGGTTGTATGCTGTGATGAAGATGGCAGATCCGGAGACAACATCACCAGCTGTCCTCTCAGACCTAGAGCGCATAGAAGCAACCTGTGATATATGCCAACGAGAGGCGCAAAAGCCCCGCCGTTTCAGAGTGTCCTTGCCTGAGGGCGACATTGTGTTCAATCGAACCGTATGCCTTGATCTTATGTTTCTAGACTCCAAGACCGTGCTCCATATAGTCGACAAGGATACAAAGTTCAGCGCTGCTGCCTTTTTAGGTCGGGAGACTACCGACGCTGTATGGGAAGTATACATGCGCATCTGGACCAACAAGTACATTGGTTTCTCTGATGTAATGTCTGCAGATCAAGGTCCTCAGTTCAGGTCAATTGCATGGAAGAACCTTGTCAACATGGCTGGCATGAAGCTGGAATTATCCGGAGTTGAGAGTCACAATGCACTCGGTGTCGGGGAACGTTACTACTCTTTCCTACGGCAGATATATTGCAAGGTGCGTACTCAGCATCCAGAGATTCCTATCGACTTCGCACTTTCTCTCGCGATCAAAGCAATGAACGATAGTGCTGGACCTAAGGTACTTGTTCCCACCTTACTAGTCTTCGGTGTGATGCCTCGTATTCCCATTTTTCCAATGGCGCTCCCTGTCCAAGTTCAGAGAATGAAAGCCATGCTGAAGGCCAGGGATGAAATGGCAAAAATCATTGCTGGAAGCCAAGTGAAGAAAGCACTCCGCAGTAACGCTCCTGGCGCAGCGATGGCTGAAATCCCGATTGGATCCGAAGTACTTGTCTACAAAGAGAAGCCAGTTGACAAGTGGGTAGGACCCCACAAGGTGCTCGACATCAACGGGAAGATGCTTCACGTCGATATCAATGGAAGGACTACGCTCCTCTCCATTGACAAGGTGAAGCAGTTTCGCCGCCCCGATATCCAGCATGCGACTCCAGTAAGCCTACAGGTCCCGGCGAAGAACCTTGAAACGGATGACGACATAGTCGAAGAGCTGCAGCGCATCACGTCACAAATGAAGGTCAACGAACTAGAACCGCCTTCACCCATTGACGATGCAGCCCCATTTGACTCGCTTTCCACAGATGCAAATATTTCTGCACGGGAATTTGTTTCTGTGGTCCAAGTTAATCTGATGGAAGTGGGGCAGAACGACGATCCTCGCGTTAACTCCTTAGAATTCAAAGAAGCCAAAGAGAAAGAGATATCTGGCCTGATAAAGAGACAGACTTGGCGGGTGATCAGGAAAGAGGACTTACCTCCCAGCGCTAACGTACTAAGCGGAAGGTTTGTTCTTACACTGAAGAACCTTGGTACAGACCATGAGAAAGCCAAGGCCCGTTATGTGGCCCAAGGGCATAATGACAAAGAAAAGTCGCGTCTGGTACACAATATTACCACCCTGCGCCAAAGCTCTACTCGCATGATCGTTTCTGTTGCCGCCGTCAAGAGGTTCCGAATATTTGGACACGATGTTACTCAAGCCTACTTGCAAAGCGATGAAAAACTCTCACGGAAGATCTTTTTACTCCCAAAGAAAAAGGACTTAGAAGCTTTCGGTCTGGACGAACAGGACATCCTGGAGTTACTCCGCCCTCTGTACGGGACATGCGATGCTGGAGACTACTGGGGGGTCACAGTCCAACGCCACATCACAGATGACTTGAAAATGACACCAACGGCAGGGGACCCGTCTTTGTACCTGAAGCGAAACCATGAAGACATCGGCGGGATGATGGGAAACTACATCGACGATGGAGCTCTTGCAGGCAACGAAGCTTTTCAGAAGCTAACCGAAAAAACTCTTGTGAAGTTTGACTCCAAACCAAGGGAGTGGGACAACTTTGAGTTCTTTGGTGCATTCATTAGCACGCTGGACAACGGTGAGCGCACAATCAGCCAGAGTGTTTATGCTAAGAAACTAAAGGTGATTCCTATGGATGCTACATTCGACCAGTTTCTTCCTTTCGAGCGAGCTTCGCATGGCTTGGACACACCAGACCCGATGTTAGCTGCGCTATCAACCAAGCTGCACAAGTCACGGCCGAAACGTACTCCAAACACCAGAGGGACAAACTGAATGAGATTAATTCAGCTATCTTAAAGGTGAAAAGATCTACAGATCTTTGCCTGCGCTTCCAAAAGCTCGATGTGGACACCTTACATATTAGGGTGTATACGGATGCCTCTTTTGCAAACAATGACGACCTCTCCTCCCAACTTGGTTTTATTGTATTTCTGTGTGACAACAATAACTACGCGCATATCCTTGATTACTCGAGCAGGAAGTCCAAAAGGGTTGTTAGATCCATACTTGGAGGAGAAGTTTATGCATTCGCAGATGGCTTTGACCGGGCATTTATGTTACGGCATGATTTGCAAACCATCTACAGTCGAATGATCCCTCTCCAAATTCTTACCGATTCTATGCAGATGTTCGATGTCATTACAAAGGCCTCATCAACAACGGAAAGGCGTTTGATGATCGATATTGTAGCGGCGAGAGAGGCCTACAACCGTCAGGAGATATCTAACGTCGGCTTGGTTCTTTCAGAGCACAACATCGCTGATGGACTTACCAAGATCAAGCCAAACAAGTCTTTGGAGGAGTTGCTGAAAACGGGTATGGATACAAACCCTGTCCAGCAATGGGTGATTCGACGCGACGCAAGCTCGTCTTCGGAAAAAGGGGGACTGTGAATTTCTACTGCAAGGTGGTACCTATCAACCATCAGCTCCACATAGCACATCAATAACCTTAAGAATATCGATGGCAGTCCTCGCTTGCTGTTTTACATGCTTCGAGGCCCCTTTAATTTACGCGCGCCTTCCGCTCGCGTCCGTAATATATAACGCCTGCCTCCGTCTCCGGGTAGCGGAGACTTTTAGGTAGACAGGAGTAAGACAATCGAGGTTGACTCGCCACCGAACACAGCAACCCCCGGTCGTCGGGGTACTGTCCGCAGGTGACAAAGGGCCGGTTGCAGACCCTTTTCAACTTTAATAAATTACTCCCTCAATACAGTATTTGTCAATCTATTTGCCGGAAAACTTCATTTTTCCACAAGTACGGCTTTTTGCAGCCAAGTGCAAATTGATAGAAAGGCCTACTAAACGAATTTGTTCAAATCTCCGTCCACCGACCGATAGAATAGTTTCGTGCTTTCCTTACATTCCCTTTACGATAGACCTCTGTCCCTGGCCACGTGAAAGGATCTATGCAGCGTGGGGGCAGTTGACTTTTTCTGCCACCGGAAATCCAAGTGAAAAAAATGCCTCATTTCATTAGAACTTGTTCCTACAGATATATCTGTATATCGAAAAGTACGATATTATTTTTGCGCCGACTCAAGCGTGATCAATGCATGCGTCTTTCGTGCTGCATTCTTCCTCCTAGCCGCAAGACGCAGCCCAGGAAAACCCATTCCCAAGCGGCATCACAACCGTCGCGAGAATTGAGCCTCACCCGACTCTCCCAAAGCACCGCAGACTAAAAGCGAGCTGCGTGCGCGCAAATGTCGGCGCAGGGCTACTCGGATCGTCTCTCCAAATACTCCTACCGAGGGAAGCTCAACCTCCGCAGCGACCCCGACCCACCGCTCTCGGTCCTCGCCAAAGCACGCATCCTTGCCCGTCGCATCCGCTCCTCGTCGCATGTCGTCCTTCACACAGGCGCGGGTATATCCACTTCAGCCGGTATCCGTGATTTTCGCGGTCCGAAAGGGGTGTGGACCACTGAATCATCGCGCGCGAAGACCACAGACAAGCAGGATGGCGCCTCCAATACATGTTTCGAGGACGCAGTTCCCACCCTCACGCATATGGCCATAACAGCGATGCACGCCATGGGGTTTATCCATTACGTCATTTCGCAAAACGTGGATGGACTCCACCTCCGCTCCGGTTTACCCCGCTCCGCGCTGTCGGAGCTGCACGGAAATCTGTTTGTGGATTGGTGTCCCGTATGCAAGTCCGAGACGCGGCGTGACAGCGAGGTACCAACAGTCGGGTACAAGCCTTCCGGGAAGCGATGCGGAAGGGCAAACTGCGATGGGATGCTGACGGACAAGGCGCTCGACTGGGACGACGCTCTGCCGGATTACGACCTGGAGCTGGCGCGTGAGCACGGAGACAAGGCTGATTTAGCGGTCGTAGTTGGGACGAGCTGCCAGATGGATCCCGCGCGCGGCTTGCCGTTTCGCGGCAAGGGCGATGTAGTGATTGTGAACTTGAGTCGGACAGATTATGACAAGAGGGCGGCGTTTACCGTGAGGGCGCAGACGGATGCTGTGTTTGCTGTGATGGCGCAGATGCTGGACGTGAGGATTCCGACGTACGAGCGGGAGGTAGAGGTCTTGGTGCAGAGCTCGTTGCAGGGCAAAGATTTGAAAGTAGAGATGCTCGTGAGGTGGGATGGGGACGAGAGAAGGCGGGCAATGCGCGAAATTGAACGAGTTCGGTATGGAACGAAGTGTGGGAATGAGATCAGTGTTATGCAAGATGGAGACGCGAAGCTGGGGTACAAGGCGATGCTAAGAGGTGTAGAGGTCGGGACGAATGTGGAAGCGAGTATCGAAGTTCAGGACCTGGGATGCGTCCAGATTGCGCACGTGTCCCCTGGAAAGGTGATGCTGGGAGTGGTATTGACTAGGAGGGAATACAATGAGACGATGACGGCCAGAGTTAAAGAGCTGGAGGAACGGGCGAGGAGAAGCAAAAAGCGGAAAAGAGACGAGAATTGGGAGGCGCGACAGTGGTTTGTCAAAGGAACAAAACGGGGCTGGCAAGACTGTGTCTGCTGTAACAAGTGTGTCTGGAGCGGGGCAGGGAAGCGGGAGGCGCACTTTGCGATCTGCGACGAGGGTATGTGAAGAGAGGGCTGTCTTTACTGAACGACAAGCTACTCTTTAGACACGGAGACAACAATGGGCCCGACATTACTGCCAGTGGCCTTGTTGAAATTGTTGTGAGAGCCATCGCAGCGCGGAAAGTCCTTACTCTGCCAGCAGCGGCAGAGCGGCGCCGGCTTGGAGATGGGGTACTTGACCTTCATATCCAGAGCTTGGTCGCCGTTAAGCGGGGCGACGGGCTGCAGCTCGGCCGTGGGCGGGCGGCGCGAAGAGGCGACGGGCCGCGCGGAGGGGCGCGACAACGGGATAGGTGTGACAAAAGCCATGGTGAGGATGTGTGCGGGGAACTAGCTGCGGCCGAAGGGGAAAGCTTGGGGCGTGCGGACGTCGGTTGCGGCTATTTAAACAAAAAGACAGGCGGAGAGACAGCGGTCAACTCCTGAGATCCCATATTGCGACGAGGTGCAATGCTCGAGTCGTACTTGTACCTTGCGTCAGGTGTGCACAAGCGGGGATTTCATCGGTGGGTTGCGGACCGAGATCTGTTGAATATCCTACTCTATATACCGTGGGTGCCACTCGCTCTCCTGTCCTGGCCGCAACACTTCCACTTTTGCCCAGTGTTTGCCTCTCACAAGATCTGAAGAGTGTCGATCTTGGTGACCAATCCAGTCCGGCCATCACTCGCAGACTAGAGTCGTACACGTGCACACGCGTGCTACCGTTTACCGCATTACAGTCCTTGATGGATCCCGATTGACTTTGTTGGATCCGTGAGTCAGTTTGAATTCCTAGTCCTCCACCAATGTGCTGCCCTTCGAAAGCACAGCACTGTGCCACGTGCCCTTGCAAAATTTAAAATAGAATTTAAAATCCCCCCGATTCTTTTAAACCCCTCATTGGCAACTTGTTGCCCAACGCTACGTGCCCCCTCCCACACTCACCCCCCTCCCCCCCTTGTCAGTTACCTTTCAAATTCTCTGTACCCACCCACCACCCCGTCACCTCTCTCCCACCCACCGTCTTCTCCCTTCACCCAAACAACATGCCCGCCCCGCCCCCGCCCCCACCCCCACCGTTGCCCCCCCCAGCCGTCCACAACTCGGCCCCTTCCGATTCCTCGCTCGATAGCGATGACGCAAAGTCCTTCCCTGCCAAGTCGGGCTCCCCCTCTCGCGTCCCCCCTCTCCTCCCACCGCCACCCTCCTCCCCGGCCGGCACTTCCCTGTCCCGCGCCTCCGACGTTCCAGACGATGATGGAAATGTCTCCGGCCCCGAAAGCGACCATGAAGACCATCACCAAGTCTCCGACTCCGACTCCGCTCCCGACTCCGACTCCGATCTTGACCATTCCTCCGACAACTCGCAGCAATCGGCAAGCGAAACTTACTACCACGACGCCGACGACCTCGCAGAGCTCACTAGGGATGATCCCGCGACCTGGAAAAGCCAACTCGTGACGCGCTCCGACGTACTTGCAACCTACGACAGCGCCGCAGAAGACTCTGCTGACGAGGTTCACCACCCGCATCATCCTTCCACGCAGAGCCGCAGCCCCTCCCTAACCCCTCCCCGTCCCTTCATCGAACTCAAACCGCTCCACCTCGACGACACGCCTCAAAGCGACCACTTCGCGAGCACCGCGCCGCGCCATGTCGACGTCGAAGATATGGATGACCTCGATGTCGCCTCAGACGACCGCGAGCTGGAACTCATCACCGGCGTGCACGAACGAGCGTCGTCCCCACTGAGCAGGCCCCATTCCTTCCCGGCCTCCAACTCGTCACCTGCCTCTGAGACCTCGGAGATGCATCGACGGAAGCCTGTGCGGCCCGCAGTGGAGATTTTGCCCGACGAGTGGGACGGCATTGAGCAGCACGAATCCTCTTTAGAATCTGCGCGCTCAACGGGCATTGCCGGCGCCGGAGCCGAGAATGTTCCATGCAAGAATGGGTACGCGGACTGGGGTGACGTCGCAGACGATCAGCTATCGCTAGAAGAGCTTCAGGTCGAGGCGGACGAGGTCACCGCGGCTATTGAGGATGCGTTCCCGTCGGGAAAGCCTCCCTTGGGGAGAGCGACGCCACTGAAATCCGTCTGTGCAGACAAGCCGCGCCTACAAAAGAGAATGCGAGACATCACTGCGGAATTGGCAAACGTGCAGATGGCCACCGCGGGATGGGCGGCCGATGCCGAAGGCAGTATCGGGTCTGGCGACGAAAAAAAGGACGACCGCCTGCTGCGAGACGAGGTGGGACGGCTCCGAATAACTCTCAATCACCTCACGCGACTCACGCTAGAGCGCGCTTTTGAAGTAAGAGACGCGATTGATGCACATCGATAGGGGCCTGCGGCTGGGCGCATGCATATTTAGGAAGGCCTTGTAGATAGAACAAACAAGAGGCGAAAAGGGTCTCGACTTGCGGGGCAGACGCCGCGAAAATGTACATATTTATCAATTGCGCAAATAAACACTGGCCAACGGCCGAATGAGCTTGAAAAGTTTAGAGGGAGTGTTCCACCCGGGTCTTGTCGCCATAAGTTTAACTTGTTTAGGAGAAGATAAGATAAGAACGGAATCACCGGTGGGGTGGCGGGTGATTTGGTGCGCGACGTGACCAACGCAACACCAACTCATTTTCGTTTCTTCACGCGCCGTTCTATCACAACGGGCTCCGGCTCTCTCGACCGCTTCTCACCCCGGATGAGAGCCAGGTCGTGGAGGGCCTCACTTTCTTCGACTTCAATCTGAACCTTGACTTTCTGTCGGTTTTCATTCTTCCTATTCCGACCTTTCTTCTCCTTCTCTCTGACTCCATTGTCCTTCTCGATCTCGGCAAGGAGGCCGTCTTCCTCCAGCGCACTTCGTCCACCCGATTTTCCATTGCTGTTGTCACCATTGTTTTCGGTAGTGGCACCGCGTCCACGAAGAGACATTTCATGCTTTCTCTGGTTCCACCCAGATGCCGTGCTATCTTCCCCCATGATCTTGAAGCGAAGTCCTTGAACGTGCTTTACCTTGCACAAGTTGTCACTCAGCAACCTCATAACGATCTTTGTGCGAAGCCGTAAGTATTCGTCGACAGCAGCATGGACATTTCTTTGGTACTCGGTCTCGACACTGCTCTCATGAAACAGCCTTCTCTTTTCGGCCTCAAAAACTTTGCCATGTCGGATCTTCTCAAGCTTCAAGCAGCCTTCACGGTACTCATCGAGGGTTCCAGTGGGTACCGGGGCAGCAGGTGCAGGTTGTTCTCGAGAACTTCCCAAGACACTGGTAGCGTCACCGTTGTCCGGGATGAGAGTGGGTTCAGGCTTTCCGACGGAAGGCATGGAAGGTTGTGGAGGGTCAGGACGGCCAAAAGAAGTTGCAGTAGTGGAAGGTGGGGCTGCGTGGCGGTGGTATTTGCCAGTAACCGTGTCGCGGCGTGCAGCGTTGGCTGCGGTTGACTTTGACGATACCGGGATAGCCAAGGGGGCGTGAGTGCGACGGGAAGGGGGCCGAGCAGGGCGACGACCGTTAGACTTAGGTGGGGCTGACGGTACAGGCTCGGGGACTGTCGGGGAACGGCGTGCTGAGCTAGCCGAGAGTTGTTTCCGTGGTTGGGCATCCGATGGGGCGGAGAATTGGGCGGGTTCGGGAGTGGGGTTATTCGGGGAAGGGGAAGACGGTGCGGCTGCGGGAGT